ACAGGGAGTCATTTGGGACAGACAGCATGGCTGCACCAAGGGCAGGTCCAGCCAGACCAATCCAATGGCCTTCTGTGATGGGATGCCCACATCAGTGGGCAAGGGAAGGGTGACAGATCTTATTTATCTGGACTTCTGTAAAGCCCTTGATGCAGGCTCTGACAATATCATCTTTCTAGAATGGAAGGAGATGGATTTACTGAGTGGATTGTTATGTAGGTGAAAAATTGGTTGGATGGTGGCATCCAGAGGGTTGTGGTCAATGGACATCAGTGAGAAGAGGTGTCCTTCCAGGGGTCCATACTAGGACCAGTGTTATATAATATTTTCATTTACGACCTAGACAAATGGATTGAATACACCCTTGGCAGATTTGCAGATGGCATCAAGCTGAGTGGTACGGTTGGCACACCTGAGACATGGGATGTCAGCCAGGAGACTCTGGGAGAGCTTGAAAAGTGCACCCTTAGAAATCTCATGAGGTTTAACATAAGTGCTGGTTTTTTCTGGCGTAAAGTTAACCTTCACAGTGGCTGGTATGGGGCTATATTTCCGATTTGTGCTGAACACAGGGTTGATAATACAGAGATGTTTTTGTTATTGCTGAGCAGGGCTTGCACAGCGCTAAGGCCTTTTCTGCTTTTTGTACTGCCACACTGGGGAAGGGACTGGGAGCGCTTGGGAGAGCCAGGACAGGTGACCCCAACTTACCAAAGGGATATTCCAGGCCATGTGGCAGCAAGCTAAATTAAGCTCACTATAAAGTGAGAGGAAGAAGGAGAAAGGAGGGGACATTTGGAGCAATGGTGTTTGTCTTCCCAAGTCACTGTTACCTGTGATGGGGCCCTCATCTCCTGGAGCTGGCTGAACACCTGTCTGCCCATGGGAAGCACTGAATTAATTCCATGTTTTACTTTGCTTGCATGTGTGGCTTCTGCTTTCCCTTTTAAACTGTTTTTATCTCAGCCCATGAGTTCTCCAGCTGCTACCCTTCTGATTCTCTCCCCAATCCTGCTGGTGGGAGAGTGAGTGAGAGGCTATGGGGGTTTGGCTGCTGGCTGGGATTAAACTGACACAAAATGTAGAGTAAGGTGTTGCACCTGGATTAGGGCAACCCCCTGTATTAACACAGGCTGTGGTGAACATACCAGAGCAGCCCTGCTGAGAAGTTCTTGGGGGTGCTGCTGGGTGAGAGGCTGGACATGCCCCAGCCATGGGCACTCCCAGCCCAGAGAGCCAAACGTGTCCTGGGCTGCATCCAGAGCAGCGTGGGCAGCAGGGCCAGGGATGGGTTTCTGCCCCTCTGCTCTGCTCTGCTGAGACCCCACTGCAGTGCTGCATCAGCTCTGGGGTGCCAGAACAGGAAGGACATGGAACTGTTGGAGAGAGTCCAGAGGAGGCCACCAAAATGATAGAGGTACCAAAATGAAGCACCTCTCCTACAAGAGAGAGAATAAGCCAAGAGAATTTAATTTGTTCAGCCAGGAAAAGAGGCACCTTCAGGGAGACCAAATTGCGACCTTCTAGTACCTCAAGGGAGTCTACAAGAAACCTGGAGAATTTTTTTTTTTTTTAAATAAGAGTATGTAGTGACAGGACAAGGGACAACAGCTTCAAATTGAAAACAAGTAGGTTTAGATTAGATATCAGGAAAAAAATCCTTTACTGTTTTTTCTCTCTAATTTCACTCCTTTTTCTAGACTTCCTTGCCCCATTTTTTCATGTACTTCTTATATTTAGACTCTGTAAAACACCTTAGAATCCTTTTGTCAATAATCTGGCAGGTAAGATGTATTAAACAACAATTTCATAGCTCTGATCATTGTCTGCTAATTGCTTCTGTTACCTGCTTTGACACCAGGTTTGAAGCCTGCTACACCAACAACTCACCTGAATACTGAAAATCCTGTGGCTTTCTCTTTGTGAATATTTTTATGAGAAAACAGTGAAAATGTCAGATTTCCTGGTATAGTGCCTAAAAAGGTAATCTTAATGTTTAAGGAAAGAACATGCATATATTCAGCCCCAACTTCAATATATATTAGAGAAAAATACATTTATTGCAGGAAATTAATTTTTCTGATAGTAATTTTTTCATCTTGGGAAATCTAGGCAACATTTGCAGCTAGGTCTGTCAGGTCCCTTAGTTTATAACACTGTTATAATACCTAATGTATATTTTGATTTCTTTAACAAAATTGTAGTTTATTCATTACTTTCTCTGTTGGGTGGAAAATGAAGAGGATCTTTACACAACAGACTTGAGTTCACTCTAATGAGATGTTCTTACTGAGATCATTCAAATATTGAGAAGATGATTATTTCAAGAACTACGTAAGAAACAATCAGATAAAATGACACTAACTTTTAAATATTCCTGCTAATCATATTACAATTACTTTTTATTTTCCAAATGACCCCTTGTTCTCCTTATACAATTTTCTGCTTTGATATAGCCTATGTATTTTGATTTGAGTTTTCTGGAGATCAAGGTGCAATCTTTCACTTGTGATGGCATTTTTTTCTGACTCTGAATGTGTTTTCTTTTGGCCTCAGGCCTGTATGCAATTCTGAAAACATTGTGCCTTGAGGTGAAATCAACAGGATTTATTTTTTCTTTCATATTGTTCATCTGTATGTTTGTGTAGCTTCTATTGAATTCTTTCACTCTTTGGATTAAATGCTCTGTGAGTTCCAAGACACAGAATTGTCCTTTGAATCATAGGATCACAAGGTATTTTATGTTGGAAGGACCTGCTGTAGGTCATTTTGTCAAACCACCTGTTCAAAAGGGCTACCTTCAGCATCAGGTGAGGTTGCACAGAGCCCTGTTCTACTGAATTTAGAAAAATTCAGAACATAAATACTTTGTAATCACAAAACCTGCTCCAATTCCTGTATCCTCTGTGTTTTTCCTTACAGGCAGTGAGAATTCATAAACTTGTGACTTCTGTCTATTGTTCTTCCGATGTGTACCTCTAAGGAAAGTTTGGTTCCATCTTCTCTGTAATCCCCCTGCAGGCAGGTGAAAAGCTTGCTTCTAATCTCCAGTGTCAACAAAAACTGCTGTCCTAGCTCTTCCTCCTCATGTGCTCCCTCCTCCTGGATTTCTCATGCCTCTGCTCAACCTTCTTCTAGTATGTGTTGGAAAGTCCAAAACCAAACACAGTACAGCTGTGTCATGGATGGATTGATGCACTGCACTTGTAGCAGAGATGTAACAATGTGGTTTTTGGTCTAAACCAATGATTGAACAAAGTTTCATAGTAAATGTGACAGGGCTTTTATTAGATTGGATGGAAAAGAGCTCTTAAGTGTTTTCTGCACAAAGGACAGGGTCAGGCAGAGCTATCAGAGATTGTGCTGTTGAGTCATCAGGTTCAGAAAGGACCCTGCTGCTTTCTAAACTTCTTTCGTGAGGGGAGGTCACATGCAGCTACATCCAGACTTAGTCCCAGAGCTGGTCACTCTGGGGGCTGGTCACTTTATGTCACTTAGGCAGGATTTCAAAGGTTAGGGTCCTGTTGATCACCTTCCAAAGATCTGTTACAACAAGGAATCTCTCAGCCTCGAGGATTAACCTTGAAAAATGTCCCTGCTCAAAGGGAGATCCTGGCTGCAGCCTATTGTCCCATGGGAAAGCTCAACGAGCCCTGGGCTGTCCTTTCTTTGTGGAGGAGGATGGTTGACTTACACAGCTGTATTTGGGGTTTCCTCATACTCAAGTAGCCCTTGTCTGTTGAACAAGAATTATGGACCTTGGCTGCTGAGCAAGAGTTATGGCCCTGAACTATTGTATCTATCAGTCAGATGCACCACAAACATCACTGGTGGCCATTGCTTGAGCAGAAATGGGGGAAGTGAGGGCACACCACTGCATGCAGACATAGCCTTAGAAATGCCAAATAGACGGGGAAAGTTTTCTGTCCTTCTCCTGCTAGTCTGCACCCTGTAGTCATTCCAGATACAGAAGATCTAGGCTCTATGTAATCTGGAAATTAATATCCAGGTTTGGAAAAAAAATGGTTTTTTTTCTTCTCAGCTAATGAAAGATCTTTATAGCTTGCTGATGTATTGAAATGTGGAGAGCAGTTTACAACAGACCACAAGATGGTGCTAGAGATGGACTCCAAGGAGCTGTACAATAGCAGCCCCTGTGTCTTGTTTCTGGGCACCAGCTAGCCCATGTAATTTGCCAGAAGCAATGAAGGGAGGGGATGGTAGAGAATCTTCTCTGCAGTCTCTTTCTATAAACAGCAAATATGAGGAGTCACATTTAAAGCACACAAACTATGATTTCTTTGATTAGACAAATTATGAATAAGCAGAATCAAAACCAAAATGACACTAAAATAATGTCTGTTTATATAAATCTTCAAAATTAATACCATGTATATATAAAAGTAGCATCATTTAAGGCAGAGTACTCTTCTGTTAAGTCATATGGGAATTACAAGACACACATGTATTGTATTTACTGTGATGGCACCCTGACCACATCATTCTATCTAAGTAAAAAGAACCCTTGGCATAAGATTGTGAGTGCAAGGTGAGAATTTAACACCAGGGAAGAGGCATAAATGAGTCATTCTGCTGAGACACTGTGTTACTGAAGATTATGAAGCTGCATAGTTTGGATTGCTTACAAGTTTTAGCAGTATCGCAATTGCACCAATGAGAGATTAAGATTTGTTTAGACTGTAGAGACATTCAGTGTCTACTGAATGTTGAACAAGAATTGTGGACCTTGGCTGCTGAGCAAGAGTTATGGCCCTGAACTATTGTATCTGTCAGTCAGGTGCATCACAAACATCACTGGTGGCCATTGCTTGAGCAGAAATGGGGAAATGAGGGCACACCATCACAGGCAGACATAGCCTTTAAAATGCCAAATAGAGGCAAGAAAATTACAATTTCTAATTCTAATTTCTAGTCATTTTGGCTCCCTATTATGAAGGGAGTGTATGTAACACAGAGAAGGATCACCTACTTCACAGTTATTGTAGTTCTTCTCACAGGTTTTATTGTAGAAAGTCACAAATATGGTCAAAATACTAGAAGCTATATATGAATAATACTTGCATTACATTGGTCTAAGCAAACAACATGCAGTACTTTATTTAAGGCACAGCTTTAGAAGGCCAGAAATACAAGAGAAAAATATATATTATTATTTTAATAATTATCACATCTGTTAAATGAAAGTTAAAGAATACCATATTAGTTTTGACAGAAAAATACTAATATTTCATATTCAAATGTTAGACACATTGGATTTTTTTAATTGCAAAGTATTAGCAGCTATATTACCCTAAAAGGCTAACTGGCTTTCATTTTCTATTTTAAGATAAAATTTCTATGTGATTTCCACCTCACATGATAAAAACTTATTTGCCACTCACAAGACACTTAGATTAGTGGGGATTGGAAAATGTCCAGTTTGAAGAGATTTTATGATCGGAATAAGACTCCAGCAAAGATTAGGATAGAGAATTTTTAAACTTGCTTTACTAAGTAGATTTAGAGTTACAAAGTTTCCTGACTTTACTGTGTTTTATGAGAAAAGGAGTCAAATGATATTACTATCTCAGATATAAAATCTGAAATTTCACAAAATTGCCACTTCTGTTTTCCATAAGGGCTTATTTTCCCTTGAATTGTTAAAAAAAAATTAAGATGGAAGATGGCAAAAGTACAAAATTCTGCATGTAACCATAATTTAAATTTTAACTATAAAACAGACTCAAATTTAGCTGAGATAAATGTTACTTTTGTGGTGATATCAGCAATGCTGATTTCATTCATTGCTTTGTACAAGCTTTATGGTTACTTGTCATCTTTTCATCAGCTTTCCATCTAGCTCATTCTGTAATTTAGTGAGGTGATTACACTACCAAGAATAGATGTATGACTATGAAGTGTTAGTGTATCAGATAGTGAAATTAACATGACTGAATCTATTTCTTGTGCTGAAATAACTTGATTCTAGTGTGATAAATACTGAGATTAATATCTAGAGTTTTGGAGTTTTTTCTTCATGCTAACTTAATTAAACTCTTGGCAGGTCCAGAAGTTGTAAGTATTACTTAGAAAATACTTAAAAGCTCTCTTCAATGAGCATAATCAACATAAAGATTTTTGCTATTTGAAGAATACAACAAGCAAGCCGTGAAATCCCTTAAGGTCTCACAAACCTTTGGAGTTTAGTTTGCAGCAGAAAATTGCCTTATTGCAATGTGCATTGGTGTGATCAACTGACTGACAATAGGATTCCTATTTCAGGTGTGCATTGTTTGTTGTACTTACACAGGACTAATCCTACAAGTGTTGTGTTATCTCGTAGGCTGTTTTGTTGCAGCTAGGCAGCAGTCTCTTGGCATGGATGTGTCATATCTAGAATTTATACACATACAGTCTCAAATTACTTACATCACAGAAAATTGCTACTAAATCAGAGTGGGATTCCATGTACAGCAATGAAGAACCAGATCTTTAACACCTAGTGATCCTGATAACTTTCAGGTTGTTTTCTCAGGCATTTCGAATATGCTTTGCAGGGAATAGTCTATGGACATTTAAGCTTCAACATCTCCCATTTAACACTGACAGACCCTGTTGTTCAAACGTAGGTACTCTTATGTCTCCTCCAGTGTACTCCGCATAAGCACCTAGTGTTTATTTTATTCAGTAATTTTGAACATTATTATTTTTCTGATGTTGTTCTGCACTCTGCTTTGCAGAACATATGATTGCATTTCCCTCTCTGACTCAAAAGTGGAAGCCAATATGTCAGAGCAATTTTCTGCTGTGTTTGCAGGCATCTGTTATGGCCCATCAGTTCAATGTGTCTCCTTCCCACTGCCTGCACATTGTGCATCTGATGTTCTCTGTACATCTTTTTCGAGAGGTGCCATGCTGGAGAGATGCTGGAATTGCATAACGGACTATATGGGCTGACTTGGTGCTGTCTTCCAGCTTCCAGCATCTTCCCTTATCCCCAGACAGACTCAAGACACCTTTTCTACCTCTTTCTCAAAGTCAGTCAGTCAGGATTTGCACATATGCATTTAACAGCTTCTGAAAGTTTTCTTGTCATATTCAGGTGAACTTATAAGAGACAGTTTTTAAAAAGTAAAATGTTTACCACACGGAGAACTAATAGTACATTTTATGATCATATATGTTCCTTATTGTATTTGAAATATCCCCTGTATATTTTCCCACACCAGAATATTTTGTTTCCTTAAAAACATAATTGTGTAGGTCGAACTCAGAGATTGATCAGTTACTAAGTTTTTCAGTTTTGCCTTCCTCTTTTGCTATTAAATGTAGAGAAATAAAGGATGTTGGTGACTTAGAAATTATGAAAATGTAGGAATTTATCTCAAACAGAAATTAGTTGATATCAAACTTCCTCATCTTCTTAGGAGCTGTACTGCCTCTGAATGGTAGGCAAGTTACTTTTCCTGTAAATATGATACCCTGAAGTAAAAATTTTTGTCCTCGTTGGGCTCTTTGTTTTCCAGCTTGCGAATATCAAGTGAGTCGTTGTTCACACACAGATAGTAACTTCTGTCTTCGTAGCATTGGAACTGCACTGAATCTCCTTGGTAATGCATGATGAAAAAGTTATTATCTTCACACTTATGGAAATAAACAAAGTGAAAAACACATTATATTTCTAATGCCATTCTATAATGTTAAATATGACAAAAAAATCACAGATGTTGTTGGTTTGTTATATTTTATGCTTGTTTATGCTTTTCTGCAGTGACTCATATTTGCTAATTTTTAAATAAACCATAGGCAAAACCTAATCATTTTGGGATAGATTCTGTTATAGCTACAAATAAAATAATACCCACCTCCCAAAAAGACTGAGTAACACCAGACAAATAGGTGCATTCCTTTGCTTCACAGAAACACTGGTACAGTTGCCCCATAGTCATTACTATAATTTTTGTCATAAAAGTTTTTGTCTGGTTATTTTTCTCACCTTAGGCCTACCCTGTCAACTGCCACTAGAAATAAAATGTCAATCCACAGTTTTTCTTGCCTCTTTTTAAGTAAAATTAGAATGTTACAGTAGAAATTACTCTTAAACAACTGTTGTATTACCTATGGCTTTTTTGTATTTCTTTGGTTTCCAATGCACTTTTTTAAAAAAGGTACATCTCTGGAGAAATAGCTATTGTCTAGAAAGCTCCTCTGTCTGTGTGTGTGTGTGTGTTTGGGCTCACTAGGCACCTCAGGATGGGGATGGACAAATAGTTACAAAAATTCATGCCAGAGAGAGAGAGAGAATGTGCTGAAATCTGAAGAAACTGGTAAGTTTGGGGCACCAAAGGGCTGCTGAATCTGATTGTGGTCTCCAGCACTCCTCCAACGCCTACCACGGGTTGTGTAATCCACATCACATCCAAGGAGGCAGTGGCTGCTACAGCTGGACAAAGATTATAGAGCAGTGTGTGTGAACACAGCTGCTGAAACCAGGATCCCTGGGTGTGACAGGGCACAGCTGCTTGGCACCCACTGGGGTGTGGGTATGAGCCCCTGCTCCTGCCTGTGTGCACTGAGCAAAGGAGTAACTGAGAAAACGGTGTGAATAGTTATCTGATGCTAGCAGTGTAAGACATTAATTAATAGAAGGTTGAGATTTGTGTTTCCACCAACTTACCCTCCTGCCAGAGAGCAGGAAATTTATAGTATCTTTTGGGAAAGACTGAACATACCATAATCAAATTATTTAAAATTTCCTTTTGAGTGAACTTGTTGAACATTCATATTCTGCCCATGAGACAGTTCTACAACTCTGACTAGTCTGCTGTGTTATCATTGCTTAAGGGGACCTCTAAAAGGAAACTGAATGCTTGAGGGAAAGCAGGAGCACATTTAAGGGTACCAGCTTGCTGGATATTACAGCGTTGGCAATAACCACCTTTTGACAGAAGGAGCAATGTGTCCTTTCAGCCCATATGACAACAGGAGATGGAAATAAAATGTCCTGCAGTTATTGCAGAATACCTCAAGGAAATCTGAGTATATGCCTTCTGTTATCAGCAAAGCTATAATGGGAAGCATTCTGTTGTGATCAAATCAACGTAACAACAGTGTATCTGCAGCTTCAACCAAAGAAGTCTGTTTTAAAAAATACTATGAAAATAGTTGAAGAAAATTTGTCTTTGGGAAAAAAATACCTTCTAGGGACTCAGAATTGTAAAAAGTAAACATGAAAGGAATAGGAATGTTTGGTGAAAGTAAACCAGTAGAAGAAAGGAGAGAGATTCATACGTACAATGTAGAGATTCATGCTAGAGCAAGGGAGATTCCAGTGGGATCTTGTAAAGCAAAAATTACATACTTGCAAAAGCAGATTGAGATCCAGAAATTTAAAAAATATGCTGCTGTACTTGCATAAAATGATAGAAAATTAGATGGAAAACTGTCAGGGGAAAATTATTTGGAGAATGACATTATGTGACTGGGAGAAGAAAGAAGAACTCAGAGTAGAAGCATAATGAAACATTATTAGGGCTGAGAGGTGCAGCAGGTTATTAAAGAACAAAACTTTTTGCAAGAAATCATTTAAGATGTGATTTTCTATTATGACCTGTAAAGAAGGATGATGAAAAAACCTGGAGAATGTGGTGGACTACTGCCATATAAAGTTCCTCCTGAGAGGAACAGTTTCTACAGTAGCAGTCAAGACAATTTGCAAGTTCCAAGAAAGAAGCTACTTACTTTTAGTTACAATCTGATAATTTGTTTTCCATTGCATTAAATGAAGAACCAATTTAAAGTTTAGGTTTTACATTTAATGACAAATATTACACTTTTATTCATGTCCCACAAGTGATTCACAATCACTTGAAATAGAATACATATGCTCATGCTGGAAATGTGATACAAATATTGTCTTTGGAGGGTAAAGAAAACATGTCAGTGATGGGAACTGAAAGAGATGTGAGAGAGTAGTAAAGTTTTAAAATAAATAGACTCAAAATTATATGAAGGTGATCACATATGACACAATGAGCATTCCTCCAAGCTAGGGTCAAGTTCTGTACCTAACTTAGGAAGAAAACAGAAGATAAAAAGGAATGGATTTGAAGGCCAGCAGAAAACAGAACATCTTGTGTTGTTATGATACATTACACAAAGAGGTATAGAGCACACTGCAATCTACATTTGCCTCAGATTAAGCAAGGAAATGATCAAAGAGATATGAGTCATAAAATGATGATGCAACTAGTAAAACTGAGCTGCCACCTTGATTGCATTGGAGAAGCTATGGACCTTGGAAGGCATTATGTGGATGCTAAATGCAAAATGCAAGCAGGGGACAGAGACTGTGTGAAACTAGGTCACACAAGCAATTCACTCTGGCCTGAGAAAGCAAAAGAAAGAATCCAAACAGTCCTTGGTAAAGGACAACAATCTTTGCAGGTGTTGTTTAGGAGACAGTCAAGGAAGGGGTGGTGTTCCACTTATCCAATAATGTGTTGTTTTAATGACCAATGAGAGTTTTACCTCTCAGACCTTCTTGAATATCTCCATTAAAGAAGAACTAGAATAGTAAACTTTGCTCTCTTGGACAATGAAGCTAAAAGAGTCATGTTGTGCTTCTTGCCATTCCTAATATAATGCGACAGCATTACAAATTAGTTATGTGGTTTGTGGCTAAAACAGGGTTGATGACACACCAGCGAAAATTTTGGCTGCTGTTGTGCAGTGCATGCAACATCATGAGCTCCTGTGTCTTCCCACTCAGCCTCAGTGCTGGGATGGGGAAGAAGGCTGGGACAGAACACAGCTGGGACAGCTGTCTCAGAGTGGCCAAAAGGATACTGTACGCCATGTGATGTCATGGCCAGTCATAAAGCCTGGTGTAAAGGATGGAGAATGTGGGTGTTTGCTTAGAGAAGGCTAGTGTTTAGAGACTGGCTGGGCATTGGTCTGTTTATGGGAGGAGATGAGCAAGTGCTTTTGCATCACTTGTGGCTTTTTCTGACCTTCACATGTTTTACTTTTGAATTTTTTCTTAAAAGTTTTCTTACTTTTGCTATTCTGTAATAAATTGATATTGTGATGGTTGCTCTTATGAAGGTTAAATATATGTTATAAGGCTAAAAAAAGTTCTGTTAAGATCTGGTGTTTTTTCATACAAGTTTTGTCATGTTGAAAGTTGATCTCTGACCATTGGGCAAGTCAAAGCTAGAAGGACTGCACAGACTCTGAGAGGCAGGATGAAGGAGGAGCTGGGTCAGAAGAGTGACATATGCATGAGGGTGGGGAGGGTTGGCTTAATAGGGGGTTGGCTTGTCAATAGCAGATATAAGGATTGTTATGGGTGTGGGTGGTGTGCCTCTGGCTGCACCTAAGCACCCAGCACTGTCTCTTTTTCCTTGTTCAGTCCCATGTTGTGGTTCGATAAAACTTTTGAAATTTTAAGAAGGGAGGTGTCGTTTCTCACGTATTCTCTCCCCTGTCCACTGGCAGGGAATGGATCTGCATGAACATCTGGGGCAGGGGCTTGGAAGCTGGCTGGAGCAACACACCTCAGTGTATTTTTTTCCTACAGATGTCCTGACAAATGGTAGGGCTGTGCTTCCAGCCCTGGGTCAGTCAGCTCCGGGTGTACTGGACATCCCTCCACTGAAAGTAAATTTTGACCTGCACACTGCTGCCACAGTGATCAAGAAAAATGTTTTGGCAATATCAGCTGTAGCATTCACTCTGCCACCTTTTATTCCATTCATAGTGAAGGTGCAGGATCTCTGATACAGCAGCCTTCAATGATGGCATGACTTTGTTCAGCCCACAACAGTTCACTTTCACCCACCATCAAACTTCTACACTGGGCAGATGTGACTACTGAAGGGTGAATGAGGCTTGCAGGTCCCTCCTTGGCTTTTCAATAGATGAATCACCTTCTGGAGCAAAAGAACCCAATAATCCTCAAGCTGCATGCCAAAAAGAACTGTGCCCCCACCAGCCTGCTGCCAAGCACAGTAAAGATGGCATTGACACTAGTTACAAGGTCAAAACTTCAGAACCAAGGTATCTTGGTGGGCCACACCACGATTTACCTGTTTAGAATTCATTTTGGCCTACTTAACTGGAGTAAAAAATAAGTCTATTAATAAAGTCTTTCATGACTGCATAGCCTCTGGTATAATCTCTCTGTTATCTACCTTCATCAAACTACTCAGTAAAACAGAGAGGACTGTGGAATAAAAACTGTTACAGTTCTTAACAGAACTTTTACAGCTGCAGTCCTTCAGGTCCCAGTCCACCCACGCTGGAGTATTCCCATCAGAATTTTGGGAAATGCTATGCAGATACAATCACCTAATAACCTTGCATTGTCCAGCAAGATAATGCCTGAAGAGAGGCAGCCAGATCCAGAAACTGAGATGGTTGAATCTTTCAGTATTCTTTAAAGAAAATGTGTTAATTTGTGGAGATTTGAAATGGAGGGAAAACTGAGTGTTACTAGTACTTAAGAAAAGCTGAGAGGATAAAGAATGCATCTTTGAAAGTCTGAGGGTAGTAATGGGTCAAGAGTAGTAAAATATTATGATTGGAGAGAAGTTACACTAAAGTGAGACACTATATATATGTACTGAAGAAGATGTGTATTTCTTAGATAACCATTATATACCCACTAATTTCTGCATGCACTTCTGGAAGAGTAAAAAAAAGAAACAGCAAAAATTGACACATAACTAATGCAAATGGTAAAATGAGAGCCGTCTTGCTTACTGGGAGAATTACGCGCAAGGGGTGGGGGAACTGGGAAAACCTTTTAAGTGGAGAATCTAAAGGAAAATACTGTCCTGTAGCTGTGATCATTCTGTTGTGTGGTTAACTGCATTTTCTTTTATGATGTTATTAATTATGATTAGCATGCTCTATTACAGAGTTTAAATAATCACAGATGTAAGTAAATGTTTTTGAGTGAACCACTGCCTTCTCCACTGCTGCTCTGGCTGGGATGCTGCCACTGAGTGAACTGTGTGAGGCCATAGCTGTGTCTACAGTGCAGTTTTCCATTCCTACCACAACAGCATTGCAATAAGTATTGGTTGTCACCTGTGCTGCCTTTCTGACTTAATTCCTAATCAGAACCAGATCTTATTGTAAACTATTACTTGCGGAAATTAAAAAAAAAATTATTGTTATTACAACATAATTAATATTTTGGATTAAATTTAATGAAAGATGTTTCAATTAATATTGATTGTGCCATGTTTTGATAGCCTTGGTTATAGATATTGATGTTTACAACACTATGTGCAACTATTCCTGATATATATATATAATTGGGTCCACAGATTCTCATGTTTCTGCTAATTCTACTGGCAGTCTTCAAATAGAAAGAAGGAAATGTCTGTCTTTAAGATCTACTATTCAAAGCTAGAAGATTAAATATCACATTTCAGCCCTGCATAGCTTTGTCATTATCTGTGAGAAGTATTTCTCCATCTCAGTGCACTACTCCCACGCCCTCTCATCCTAAGGACAATGCAGGCATTATTCATCACACTAGAAATTATTTACTGTTCGGTTCACTCATTTTAGAAGATTTATTAAGAATCTCATGATTCAGAGTTGCCTCTGAATCTTGCCTCTTTGCTCTACTGGATATGATTCAAGTGCAGGCTTCTGATATCTCCTCATACAAATAAGTAACATTTTTTCTTCCCTTTCAGAGTATCAGCAAGAAATGATAATGACCAGATAATTTTCTGTCTTGCTAGGTAATGAATGGGCTTCCAGAAAGAATTTTTCATTTTAGCTATGTTTAAAACCCCAAAATGATATATAGGTCTCTACAGGCAATTGTTACTGCTCTTTCCAGATGTCTCCCAAAATTTGCAGGAATAAAGACATTAAGTCTCTGTGAACAGCTCCACAGAAAATGCATGTATTTTTATGTTAAAAAAGTGTATGAAATAAAAAAGTGCATTAAATATAATTTTCAAGATTCAATGTGACTGTGATAGTTTACAGCATACAAGGAGAGGACTAAAAGTTGCATTAAAAACATCCTAAGCTTTATTGCTTTCTCCTTCACTGTGGAGCCAAGGAATATTAGTGGCAGATGAGTAACTCAGCCCAGCTTAAACTGAAGGACCCACTTAGATTTTCCAGGCCCAGAAGACAGGAGATTTTTTCATTAATTATTAGTAGTGTAGCTCATACCTTTTGGAAAACATTTCAGATAGACTTCAATTTACCAGAATTGGTAATTCAATACTTTCTGATTTAGGAGAAAGGTTATCATTTTAGAAATTTTAGGCTGGGAATTTCAGGTTTTCAGGGTTTTACAGTTCCTCTTATGGAGTTCTGAAACTACCTGGGTCCAAATAACTCTAATTTTGCCTATTGAAATTGGAAAGATTGTCTTTTCAGTTGAATAATAAACCCAGAGGGCTACAATCCTAATAAAATTATTATTAGTTACATTTCCTTAGTTTTGCATTTTCTGTAGGGTGTAATGTCTATTATCCTAAAGTTCAGATATCCCAAAGAGCAACTAATTTCCTTCATGTGCCCACTAAGTTTTATCAATTCTATCTAGAGAAGTGCCAACAAAACCAAGTTTTGTCACAAAAAACATGGTAAGAAACCACCCAGCTATCTGTATTTCTGTCCACAATGCATTACTGCTGATTTATAATCATCTGACAATAAGAAATTCAGTCTGAAAATATGACATGGCTTTATTACTATTCCCAGAAGTTTATGGCTGATGGATTAATTGGTTCTTAAAACATCATAACTTCTGTAATCTGATCCTTCTAGATCTGCTAATATACTCATCCAAATTTTCTGCATCTAAGAATTTGTACCAGAAAAAATCTACTATGTATCTCCCTCCATTTTGTATAAGCATAGTAACACAGGAAACATATCCACCTTCCATGTTTTAATTGAAAGTCAGATATTTTGCCTGGAGATTGAAGAATGTAGTCATAAATACAAGTCAAGGGAAATTTTCTTATTTTCCTTTTCTGATAAAAACACAAAAAATCAATTGAAAGAAAAGTAAGTAATTTGTCACTTAATGAGTAACAGGATGAATTTAGCTGCCCTTTTTACACGCCTGTATTTGCATACACAGTCTCACACACAGGTGTGATTTGATCATGATTGTATACCTGTTTAAAGTCAGGATCTTCATGGTTGCATGTTTTCATATTGCATCTCGCCACTGAAGGACAATCTGGCTCTGAACAGGATGCTTTTAAGACCTGTATTTACAACACACAGACTTGTTAATTTTGTAATTAATTTGGCAATTTTTTCTTAATATTTTGATTTTTAAACCCATCAAATGTGGCATTAATTCTAAAGAAAGCAGTATTTTGTTTTGAAGTTCATTTATTATTACATTAAAATAACCAAAATTAATATTGGTTAAATTTAATGATGAAATTGATAAATTCTTGAAAAACTTCCATTAATATATTCCTCTTTTATCATTTGCAATGCAAAACAAATTGGGTTGAAAACAAATGCTCAAGACAGTCCTTCAAACTGTGTCATGCCCAGTTCTACTTAGAAATGCAGCCCTGATTGAACCATATTGTACCAAGATACCTAAACTTTATCCCAGACAAGAAGCCTTGTCCTGTTCCATACAAAAATCCCTGTTGAGATTAAGGAAATTACTTGTATTACACTGGAAAAAGAAAGGTCCATGATCTTTCCAAGATTTTTACATATCTGGTGGACCAAAAACCCCATATAATTTATGTCTCTTACAACATAGATGACCCTAGAAAAATTCAGGAAATAGATTTTATGGAGAGTCATTTGTGAGTTAAAAACAAATGAAAAGCATCCAAGACTTTCTGAGGAAGCATTTAGTGTTTTACACCATCATGCATGACTGACATTAGATAAAGGGTTATTCTTTATCTCAGCATTCCTGTGTAAACAGAGCTTCTTGGACCTTTGCTCTCTTTTAGACGGTAAATTGCGACATAGCATTCTTCCTCAGGCAGATTTTAGCAATGGTTATAATCCCTCGCAGAGTAAGACTAATCTTGCCGTCTCTTCCTTTCAGAAACAAACCACCACAAGGCTGGAGAAAATGGGAATGCTTAGACACCAGATGGCAAATGTTCCAAACAGGATGTTCAGCTGTGTTTTCTTTTCATCAAATTTCTTATCTCATGACGTGGGTTCATCGGAAGAAAATAATTTCCATCTTAAACTCATCTCTTTCCAAGGCAAGATTCCTGCTTTTTACTCCCCTCTTATTTTCCTGCATGTTTTCTGGCTAAGAAGCTCCCTCTTCCTCCACAGAGAGTGGACTCCAACGTTCCTGACTCTCTTGTAGTGGCATTAGTGAACTACCCAACCCAAAAATTTTTGCAATAACCTTCTCTGAGTATTACCCAAGAAAGAATAAAAGGACGTACTTGGGTGTTATGAAATGTGGAAGGTGCTAAATAAAGTGAATTTGAAAGTGTCTGGGGGAAATTGTCTCATAGTAAGAGAGCACCTATAAGTTATAAAGAAAATAAACAACTTCGTACCTTCAGAGAGAGATGCTTCTTACCCTTGCACAACAGGACAAATTCATTTAGCTTTGATCTCTGTGTGAGGATCACCAAATTTTTAGAATCTGTTTTACACAGAGGAGAATATTGTAATAATATGAGTATCACTTTATAAAATGAAGAAGAGCTGAATATGCTCTACAAAGAGAAAACATCATTTATAGGCATAGGAAAAGAGATAAATACAATCACTCTTGATACCATTCTCTTGTCTAGTATTTAAAACCCGTGACTTTGTTAAGACTTTAAATTTGCCACATATATAGTTTATTTCTCTACTTTTACGGTCAATGTGTGAAATATCAGTTATACATTACTACACGTCATATGAACTACCGAGGCATATGTAGTAGTAGAAAAAACACGTGTAATAAACGTGCTTATGGTGTACACCTGACTTTATATGGGTCAATATGGAAAATGTAGCATTTTTTCCCTTTTGTTTTCTGCATGTTTTTAGATCAAAATCCTTCTACTATCAGAATTGTGGATCCATTGTATTAATTCAATTTTTGAGCTAATTATGTTTTTTCAGCTACAGGAAGTAAGACAATATCAATAATACAGGACATTCTTCAGCCTAAAAAACTGACTACCTTCTAAACATTGCTACCTTCTGGTACTTCAGGGTCTCAGCAAAAAGTAGATAAATTAAGGTACCCTTTGCCAACAGACACAGCACACAATAGCATTACCTAGCAAAACCCATGACATTAATGACTACTCAGTGATGCTATACCTATCTGACTGGCTTACAAACTTACTTTAAGAAGTACCATTTGTGCTTTTAGAAGTATCTCAAGTGTACCATTCAAGGCTAAAAATATAAAAGAAAGTGGCAGCTGATCTTTATGTTTAACAACGCAGCAATTGAATACAAATTTAAAAGATATTAGATTATTATGCACTAACACTTGCAGTTAAGGAGTCTGGAGTTTTTTTACACATTACCAAAGGCATTTTTTAGCCTCGGAAGGGTATTCAGGATTAGCAGAATGTATTCATCCTGCTTGACTGATTTTAGCTGCTGTTTGCTCTGATTTTTGTTGCCTTAACGTTCCTTTATTGAAATGCTTTTGTATTATTCTTCTGAAGAAATTTTTCTGAGGCAGCTATAGTATGAAAATAGCATAAAGATCCTTGTTAAAAGTTGAGAAAAACTCTCTAGCCTAAACTGAGTATGCTTTATTCTGTTTACTTGACTATTCAGATAAATATGGTAGACTGTAGGTCTACGATTCTATCATTTTTATTACTTTTTGTGACATCACCTTAGATTGCCTCAACTGCAATTGTCCAATTTCAGTTATAGCACTTAAGAGACACATGATCAGGCAAGAGAGGTTTCTTATCCAAGCCAAGAGTGTTTCCTCTTGAAGGCAGGAGTGATAACAAAAGAGGTATGCAGGAGTCCATCCAGTTGAACAGGGACATCCATCAGCATGACTTACATTCTAACTATTTTTGTCCATCTCCATCTGCAGAATTTATTGTGACTTGCTTAAACATTGTTTAGTCTGAGTAAGTCCAAACTTACTCAGCCCAACTTCGTCTATCTAAAAGATGTGACAAGTGGTCTATCAGGCATCCAGAGGATGGCAAGGAAAGTGAGGAACCTTTCCATGGTTGTATTTCACTTTCCATGGTATGTTTTCATTTTCTGATGGCTTTTGAATTAATTACCTTGTTTCTCTGGTCATTAAAACCTTACCAGAGTCTAAGGGGCAATTTTAAAATTCATGAAAAGAAAGTGGCTTGAAATTATATGAATTAAATAACTTCTTGCTTGGGATATTCCTAAAATACAAAGCTTTGGGATTTGGGAGGACATCAGTATTTCTATACTATTCCCTAGAAATCCTCATTTGTCCCTTCTTCAAGGTGCAGTACTGGACCAGATGGATATTTGTTCACATTGGTTACAGGAGCCCTCGATGACTGGAATTAGAGTGCGTTTTTCTTCCACTGTAATACCTGAACTAATATATCTTTAATTTTTGCAATCATTTCTCAAGTGTAAAATATGAAAGTTCCAAAAGTGTGCCTTCTCTTTCTTCATATTGATTTCTTTTTGGTTCTCCTTTCCTGCTGAAACAGGCCTTTGCTATTTAAGACTCATATGCCAGCAATGGAACACCTACACTTTTCTACCAAAAAAAGAAAAGGTATGTTCCAGTTTGTACACAATATATTCCCTTATATACATTCATGTTCAGTCCAAGCCACTACTCCTAATTTACAAATTTTGTAATGTTGAAGATTTCTTTTTATGGAACACAAAAAGGTCGTTTTATTTTCAGACCTGTTCAGTAACCTGAGCTAAGTGAAGAATCTGATCTATTACTTCTAATGCCAAGTCTATGTGTAAATTACTACTACCTTCTTTCCCTGCTCTCAAATGTATCTTCAAAACCAGACCCTAACAAAGAGATGATACCTTTTTTCCCCACAAGACGCTTACCAGTAACTGCTGCTTCGCTTCTTGTGAACACACTTAACCACGCAATATCTAAAACAGAAGGTATTTAACAAATATGTGGAATTAGAGAGCTACATTCCTCAGATTTAGAAATAATAGAAATAATTTAAAGAATTGTTTTGAAACATAACCTGAAAAGGAGTGTGTAATAGCAATAGATATCAGATTTCTTTTCTTGAGTGTCTCTGAATTCATTTAGCCCTGGAGGGCTGTAAAATTAGACTTGTGGACAGGTACACTGAAGCCTGAATGCTGAGCCTAAAAACTGTATTGATTGCTTACTTATCTTTTGCAACAGAGAATGAGATATAAGAGGTTGGTGACCATCTGCAAAGCCTAGTATGCTATTAAAGAGGAGCCTGAAGTGCTTTGGCAGGGAAGGTGAGTACCCTAATAAGAAATGTATGGGATTGGAAGGGAACAGGTAACAGTAGCAGGTGGTTTCTGGCTTTTCTAATATGAGCCTGAATCACACAGCCAGTCAGCTGGGGAAAACATCACCCACTTCAGGTAAATATGTCACAAATATCCAGATTACAACTGGTTGCTAATATTAAGTTGTCTTAACTGTATCACGAATATATGTCTGTGGCGCTTGTGTGCACAAGAATATTACACAACATTTCCTTTTTTTTTTTTTTTTTTTTTGTCTTCTAGGACTATCACTTCTGCATCAGGCTTGTCAGATTGTGTATCTGTTCACAAACTTCTTCCACTGTACATCTATACAGGTTTTGGTTCTGTTCATAAATTAACATCAATAATTTTCTGAGTGACTTAAAAAATTTTAATGGAGTTATTGAAGAAATGATACTGAAAAAAATACAAAACACACCTAAGTACACTATCAGTGTAGCTGTCATTTTTCTCAATTTAATAGAATAAAAGTTTAAGTAATTCAATAGCTAACTTAGAGATTTTAACTTTTTCCTCTATTTCAGTTAAAAATAGGATTTTTTTGAGGTGTTTTTTTTTTCCTGCTTTCACACCTCTGGAAATGGTACCATTCTAGAGTAACTGCATCATTCTAGAATAATTCTATTTGACAGACATTATTTAACTCTACCAAAATTATATCCTCTAACAAGTCTTTCCATGATGATAGTTATGATAACATCTTTGGTGTCAAATACAGAAGCCTCATTTAAGACAAAAGAGTTCAATGAAAAATTAAATAACCCCACAAATTCTAAAATATGCTCTATTCCCCATTTCACATTTGTTCTTGTATTTTGCATTTGTTCTTGAGCATTATTACCTTTCCTTTCTCTCTCTTTGTGCTGTATGTCTAGACTACACACTATGTCAAATAACCATGAACAATGTAATCTTATCATTTAAATATATACCATACGTAGATATGTAAATCAGGATAGAAGTTTTCTTGTATCATTATCAATATTCATACAGATTCAATATATTGTTATGTCTACAGAGAACAGGATCATAGAATCATTTAGGTTGGAAAAGCCCCTTGTTATCATTGAATACAATCATAATCTGACACTGCCAAGTACACCGTGCTCCTAATAACCACTTTCAAAAACCTATGTCCCTAAAGGGGCAGAGACACAAACACTTCCCTGGGCAGCCTGTTCCAAAAATGGGCAGCACTTGCAATAGAGAATTTTTTCCTAATAATTAATCTAAAGCTCCCCTTGCACAGCCTGAAGCCATTTCCCCTCACCCTGTCTCTCGTTACCTGGCAGAAGAGGCTGACCCCCACCTGGATACACCCTCCTGTCAGGCGGCTGTGGAGAGTGATAAGTGCCCCCCTGAGCCTCCTTTTCTCCAGGCTAAGCACCCCCAGCTGCCTCTGCTGCTCCTCACAGGACTTGTGCTCCAGACCCTTCACCGGGTCCACTGCCCTTCTCTGGACACACTCCAGCACCCCCATGTCCTTCTTGAAGTGAGGGGCCCAGAGACACATGATACATAATAGTACATTTGAAAATGTCCTGTTTTCTGTACTATAGAAACATACATACAGTTGGTGAGTTTTGGTACTTAAAGAACAGTACCTTCATGGGATTGTGAATCCTTGGTACATATTTCATGATGACCATCTTCATCTATATCAAAATGCACGGTTTTTGAATCTTCAGTTAGGATATAACATTTCACTGTTTTTCGCAGACTAAACACTAGTAAGAAATGAGTTATAAATAATTTTACTATCAACAGAGAAATTACAACATTCCATTGGAAAAAGATCAAGTGCATTTTTTTAAACAATCTTTACTTGATAATCTATGTATATTTGAACTATGAGCAGTATAGCAAATGTATACTAGAAGTTACCAAGTGGGCTTAAGCAACTGTTTTGAGGGTTTGGTGCTGGTGTGAAGAAGGAAGATAAATATTTCTTTGCTTAGAAGGTTATGTCAGCTAACAGAAAAGATCCATCTAAACCTTACAGAGAGATAACATGTGAAAACTTGAGTTTGACAAAATAGATTCCAACCCAAGATCCTGAGGAATAGTCCAAGAAAGAGGGATGGTGGACAGCATGCAATGTGTTGAAATAGACTAAAGACTAATGGGGACAGGATGAATTTGAATGCGGGAGAGTGGGTCCGCATTTGCATTTGGCTGGTGAATGAGCAGACTTAGAGTAGCCAGTGAAACTCTGTGGGAAGCCTGAGCCAAAGGAAGGCTGTTTACAGAACTCTTTGAATGGAGAGGTGTGAAAAATAAAGTAGTAAGTTTCATTATGAAGAAAAGAAACGAAAAAGTAGGGAATGTTTCTCTACATACTGTTTATAGACTAGTTTCCTGTATTTCATAGGTAACTACTTGTCTGTTTCCCAATTTTGCATTTTGAATTTTGGATCCAGGTATAAACTGGATTTCAGGTTAGAGTCTACCTAAAAGCTACCTAAAATAGCAGCATTTAGTCTGGGGATCAGACATCTCATACTGAAAATAAAATAAAAAATCCCAGGTCTTTCTAGCTAGAAGTTTCCATGAGGGAAATGGTTCCCTTTCATTCCTGAACACAACTGTGTTGTTTTGGATATCAGAAGGATGAATGTCCAGACACTTGGATATTAGACACTATGAGGCAGAATTTTGATTATGTTCAGCTGAACATTGTTTTACTGGAAGAAGTTTGATACTTTGAAGTGCAGTTAAGACATTTCTGAGATCACACAGACCTCTGGGGTATGCTGCAAGATAAAATCTCCTGTCTTTGCCAGAATGATTAGGCAAGCAAAACAATAGGATACACAGAATGCATCAGTCAGTAATGTTTTAACAATGTTTGACTTCACCAAATATCTCATTTTATAATGAAATATCTCCTCTGAACATCTGCATTTAGGCAAATGTTTTGAAAAAATTGTGTTGTTGCCAAGAAGCTTTCTTTCCACCCTGCTTGGGCTGAGCAGAAATTCTGCACACACAGTGAGATAGAAGGATGATGCACATTCTGATCACCAGAGTCACACCCTCCAGAAGTGGCAGGTTCTGTGTTGGACCTTTGATTACATGCATGGTTTGTTTATGGCTAGACAAAATTTTCCTCTTTAAAGGCTGCTGGCAATCAGGCTTCCAGAAAAAAAGATGGGTTGTTCTAAAAAGTAACAGGACAACAACTACAATAATCAATACAGAAAACCTTTTAAAATTTTTATAATGATGTAGCTACAGTAAGAATATAGTAGGAATATAGTAGGAATTCTATTTGCAACTAGAATTACAAGAACTAGTACAGTGCCCAAACTAAAATGGTTGGCAGGTCCACTTACATAATTCACTCATTTCCAGGGAGATACTTTTGTACTTTAGGAATTACTGGCCTGAACATGATGGTGTGAAAAATGTCAGTATTTTAAGGAGTATTTCTGTTCTGGTTATTTTAAAGGTAGCTTTTGTGATCTATTTTACACCAAATGTTATTTTGGCAGAATTATAGAAAAGCTGTTCCACATGCTTAATTTCATTGGAATTTTCTTTGAATTAGAATATTCTTTTCAAGATTACAAACATACCTGTCACTCAGGTAAGAGTTACCTGGCTTTCCAGGAGCTGTTCTCATACGTTTAAGCAGAAATTTCTTCTTCACAGGCTGCCTTCTCTGGCGAGGCATTTGATACGGCTTTATACGGCCTGAGCGGAGCAGCATTGCATAGGCACTGAAGAAATGTTGATGATGATGATCTCAGTTGACTTCCTTCTTGAGTCCTAAAGTAGGAGTTAGAATTTGTCACAAGACTTCATGTTTCCTTTGAGAAACAACTGTTCAAATATAATTTTGATAAATGACAGTTAATGGAAGTAGATGATTTGATGATTTTGATGTTTGACTGCTTGCATGACCCAAGCCTTGGTCTTGGATAGCCAAAACACTGTATTTCCAGTGATGATAAATCAGTTAACTATCTAAATTTCCTTATCTAAATATACTGCATGCTAACATGGATAACACAGTTGTGTTGAAGGAATGTATTTTGAAAGACTTCTCCTTAGATGAGATACAAGAAGTTTATGTCTTCAGTTTATGTTTGTCAATCATAGCTAGCTACATTTTGCTGAGCTGGAAAATCTCATTCATTTTGTGAATACAGTCTAAGATAATTGTCAAAGTATTCATAAGTGATTGAATATTATGCAAACTTCAAATCAGCATAATCTGACTCTCAGAGGTATATGCAGGTATATTGCAATCTTAAACCAAGGTTCAGGAAATCTTGCCTTTGGATTCTTGAATTTGGAAATTTGAGGAATATATTGTAGTTTTTAAGGAATATCAGTTAGGTTAGATTCCTGAAGGAGAGGCTGATGTCTAAGAATGTGAACTACTTTGATGGTGAAACCACCCAGGCAGTAACTAAGGTACCCTGAAGTTGCAAGCTGAATCACTGCATTTCAGAAAAGCTAAGAACTTTATTTTGATTTAAAGAGAGGGAAAATGAGATTCTGAAGTCTACATGCTCTCCTGAAGTCACCTGTTTATGACAAGTGTTTATAGCAAGTGCAGACCAAGAAAAACAATGAGCTTCAATTCTGTCTGGTATCCTGGTGAATGAAGCTTGTCAAGATGGGTACAATTTTAGCCCCATGTGGCTTTCAACAGAATAACTAAATATCTGTCAGATCAGAGAGATCACGGCTCTGACACAAGTGTTATGGCTTGTAAATTCACCCAAGGAAGGGTAGGGCAGCTTTGTTTTCTGGTTTGGTTCACTTCCCTGATGCAAAACTTCATATTAAATTTTTACACAAAATTAAAGACTTATGTCCCTGGAAATCCTCCTGTTACTGGACTAAACGAGATAACTAAGGCTCTTATTCACTCTCTTCAACTCTAGTTATAACAACGTTCAGTTAGATCACTGAAAAGTGAAACACTTATTTTATGGGATTGCCCTTCCTTGTAAATAGGGCTCATATAATGAACAATAACTTGCAGTCAGGGGTAGAAAGAAGAGGCTGGGTTTTCCTCATCTTGCTGAAACTGCTTTATCACTGAGCATTCTAAACAAACAAAAACATTCTTTGTGTTTTTTCACTAGAAACTCTGGAAACTTCCACCTGAATCGGACTCTGGTGTGTGAGGACAGTAATACCACCTTGTGGATCCTGAGAGATACAACCTTTAGGTGTTCATTAAGACTTTGCAGGGTCTATGAGGCTTAAAAACAGACAGTCACTTACTCAAATTTCCTTCTGAAAACAAGTATAATTCTAGTTTGGCTGCTCTTGATCAGAAGTTCTGAAGATCCCAATTGCTGATTTTATCTATGTCAGAGTCTTGCACCTGCATTACTTACACTCAGGACAATAAGAAAAAAAAGGAGAATGTTCACAAATCAGGACTCTGAAGGATTCCTGAAGAGGGCAGGCCAGTTCAAAGACATTTTCAGGAACATAATTAGGAAGTGGATTAATTCTTAAGAAACGTTCTACAATGAATGATGGATAGGTAATCTTGATGTTATGAAGGACTACACTGAAATTTAACTATTTTGTCTTGTTAAAACAAGTAGAACGTAGAAAAGCCTGTGTTAGAACTTCACCTCTGTTGGCTCTCCAGAAGCCAATTAATTGTTCTCCAGAAAAATTAATGCTCCCCTACAATAAATAAAACAAGCTTTCACACCTTGGATTGCCTCTTATATTCCTTAAGACTGAGTGACATATAACTACTCCCATTTCAATAAACTTTTCCTGTCATTACATGTTGTTATATACATGTCACCTATGCTCACATTTTTCATTCTTTGTAATAGGTTTTTATGCTGTGTATATCTCCCTATGTTGATTTCTCTATCTTAATGTCTTTCATACATATTTCTTCAGTTCTTTTCCCTGTTCTATAAGAACAGGACTAGGAAAAATTGGATATTGCTCTTGGCTGCAGTCCTGTCAACCATTGTTTTGGAATCTTGGCTCTGATTTGTTTCATTTTGCATCTAAACTAGGTATAAGGGAATTAAAGCTTTTTAAAATACTGAAACTAGCAGCAGTCTAACTACTCCTAACAAACTAATGAGTATGCCTGTGGCCAACGATGACAAGATCACACTAAGAGCAGAGGAAATTTGATTTTTTTTTCCTACTACAAAGAATACATGAATGCATTGATATGAAGACAGCAAAGAAAATCTGTTATACAATGGCCTCTCTTGCTCCTGTTGTGGTCTTTGTTCTTAGCCATCGTTCTCTCTTTCTTTTAACCCCAAGACAGACATGATCATAAAACTAAATTAAATAAAATTCAGTACATGAAAACAACATTTAGAATGTTGGAGTTAATTCATATGGTGGTATGTTCCAAATATTATCTCATATTGTGTAAATAAATTCATAACAAGGTATGTCTAAGATACTTGCAGGGTCAGAACTGTTTTAGTTGAGAGTATTTGGTTGCAGCTGTCAGTCCTGCTAGGGAAGATAATAATTCCTCCAAGTTTATTCCAATTTAACAGTAGATTAAAAAGAATATTTGTCATCCTATGGCTAATAAAAAATAAGGTTATAGACTTTCAAAACAGAATTTACAAAATCTATCATCTAAACTAGACACAGGAATATACAAAAATGCACATAAACTAGATGAAGAAAGAGATTTCTTAAGAAAACTTTAAAGTCAACTGAAAAACATTATTTCATAGAATCTCAAAAAACATTCAGACAAACAGTCTGATAATATAATCTTAAATTATTTAATCCTAATGTAATCTACCATTCTTGCTTACCTTATTTTGTGTATTTTTGTCTCTGTTGGGATACTTCTACTGAACAGAATGCTAGAAGGAGCTCTGTTACAGCCAATTTATTGCCTGAACTGAGGGCAGGAAGCCAAACCTCTGAATAAAACAAAAGTCTGACGCGGACCAATCTTCTAGATCTCTACTTTCATTTATACCAACATTCCAATGGTTGTAATTACTCCTGGAATTACAAGAGGGCTGGAAATTGTAGGAAAAAAACTTAAATGTCTGTTTCTGTAAGATGCCACAGAAACTTTTCTGCCTAGAACTGCATGCAAATTTTTAGCCTACATACATAGTTCCATGTATTCTGTTCCTATATTTTATGTCACTAATATTGTTCTTGCTATCTGTCGTTCTTCCAGGGCTGAGTCACATGCAGACACTGGGTTTATAGTAATATAGACATATTAAAAATAGGAGTGTAGCCTAGTTTCCCTAGTTTCAGGGAGCTCAAAACAAATGTACTGCTTAAACATTTACCCAGCTATGAAACAGGCATCAGTGGGAATACTTGGACTGCTTGTGAGATGAATGAACTGGTGAAAGCAGATGTGATACATTTCTTTGCCCATGAAACCCTGAAAATATCTATATATTGAACGCAGCACATTCAGTTGGCCTCATCTATCTACCTATGTACATTTCTAATGTTTCACTCACCTATTGGTGAGTCCTCTCCATTCATATTATCTAGCTTTTTTTTTTTTTTAAATTAGTGAGCCTTGCATTTTTACAGAAGTGAATCACACTTTTATTTACCTCACTGAAATGATAAAAATTCTCTAAAAAGAATTACTCTGACTATTTTCCCTTTTACCAAAGTTTTCTTAAAATCAAGGAGCTACTGTTTTTATCTAGATTTTGTTCACTGTGTAAAGAAAGTTCTATATTTTACCTGTGTTTGGTTTAGGAAAAGTCTTTTTTTAGTTTACTAAGCTCTCACCAGACACTGGTAATGTATCGGGTAAACAGAAAGACTTCATTAAAACACACATTTAGTGACAAAGCAATGTGATACTTTGAAATATCAAGTCTTTGCCTATTACCCGAACAGTCTGCAAAATGTGGAAAACTTTCTGAATGGCATGACCTAAGATTGTCCTTTCAGTACACAACTGTCCTGATTTTGTGTGAGACAGAGCTAATTTTTATGCTGGTATATGGTATAATGCTGTGGTTTAGATTTAGGATGAGAATAATGTTGATAACATGCTGATGGGTGAACTGTTAAGCATTAAGACAAAGGTTTTCTGTTTCTCACATCACACCACCAGTGAGGAGGCTGGGAGACAGGAGTAGCTGGGAGGAGACACAGGTGATATAGCTGACCATGACTGAAGGGATATTCTGTACTATATGGTGTGAAGCTCAGTAATACAGCTAGAGATAAAGCTGGCTGGGGGCTGCTGCTTGGAACTGGCTGTGCATCAGCTAGCAGGTTGCTAGGAACTGCATTGTGCATTACTTGTTTTGTATATTCTAATTTTTTAATGATAGCTATTTTTGTTTCCCCTCCTGTTCTTGCCTATTAAGCTGTCTTTATCTGAATGGGTGAATTTTATGTTTTTTCCCCCAATTCTCTTACCCATCCTAGAGTGGTGATAGGGAAGTGAGCAAGTGGTTTGTATGGTGTTTAGCTGCCTGCTGGGTTAAACCACAACAGTCTGTTTTGGCAACCAACCCATGGGGTGTGAAGGGTTAAGATAACCACAGTTCTGATGTGTTAAAACAAATTTGTTATAAGCAATTAGTTGCATTGGTTTAATGGTTGCTTGCCACAATGTTGATTTATTGGATCTCAATATAGTTGCGTGTTCTCAGAGCTGCATTATGTAACACCTTGCTTGCTGTGTGTGTTCCCCATTGTGTCATTTCTCAGCTCTGGGGTAAGGTTATGATGTTGTTGTGCTTTTTAACACGGGTTTTTCATATGATAAGATGCCTGTTGGCAGGACTGAGGCAGTGTGCGCACCCGGCATCGCCGCTGCACCCGCTCAGCAGGAGCTACCTGTTTGGAATGGCACCTAACTTCACCTCCAAGGGCCTGCCCACGGGAATGGTACCCTCCACCATCCTTCCCTTCTCCTCCAGGCAAGTTACAACAGCTCTTGGAAAGTATCCCCAGGGTGTCCAAACCAGCACTTTGCATTGCTGTGACGTATGAATGTGTCTCACATCTCATCTAAGGTTACACAACTAGGTAGGAACATCACCCAGGGATCTGCCCTAAGGCTGGATAGTTATAAGGGTCAGGGAGTGTGGGATGGGATAGGCAAGTGCCTAGGAAGTGGGCACCTTCTAGTGTTTTGTAACTTCACCTCTGAAAAATGTGGAATTCAGAAAAATTTATTAAAATATTTGGAAAAGATGAGCTGACACCAGATAGTTCCGGAGAGACAGAAATCACTGCACTGTGAGGGGGCCTTGTCTGGGTTGACTGAACCCTGTTCAACAGAGCTCAGTGTCCACTGAAGGGAGGGAAGGTCTCTGGACTGAGAGCAAAGTGACAGTAGTCCGTGGCTGAACCAGGGAACCAACCTGTGCCAGTATTATCTGCCCTTGTATGCAAGGAGAAATGCTGGAAGCAGAGGTGGGTGTATCTAATAACAGATGAAGGAGCTGCCTCTAAGAGGGATCAGGAAGCAAACTGCTCTAAAACAGGGCTATCACAAGAAGAGGATGAGGAAGATAGGTACCTTGGTGGGCCTATGATATGTTGGGCCATTAAGGAAGAGAGGCAATGTACAAATGGATTTGTGAATGAGGGATGGACTTAGCACAGACTTTATCCAATACCATGCACTGTCTCTTCAGCCCTGAAGGTCTAGTATGACAGAAGAAGCCTGGACCCATGGACTAAATTTACCCAATGGACATTTTAGATGGATGATCCATAGACTAAGGGAATGATATCTGTGTGTATGTATCAAAAGACAGGGAAGGACACATTGGGTAGAGTGGAACCTGGGCATAATACAAATGATACAAAATAAAGAGAGGATATTACTCTGGTTTTACTGGGGACACAGTTAATTTTTGCCCTTGCTGGTGTAGTACTGAGTGACAGATTGATGATAGGAGTAATGTTGATAACACAATGATGTTTTAGATTTTAATAAGTGGTGTTTACACTAACTCAAGGAATTTTCAGGTCCTCCCACTGCCACGCCAGGAGTCTGGGACACAAGAAGCTGGAGGGGACACAGGGGGAGGGTGGTGGTGGAAAGTGAGCCCGCAGCTGTTTAGCTGCCTTCCAGATTAAACTGCAACAGGGACAAATGCTATGAAAAATGTATTATGTGGCAAAAGCATTTTAATTTGTCTTAATACAGTTGTTCAGATGCTATACTGAGTCAAGATTTGATGCTGCTTCTGTAGCTGCATTTTTTTAGTAAGGAGCAGATAGATGCAGGTTGCAAAATGTAGACTCCATATCACATAAACCGTGCTTGCAGGCTGCACATGTACCTGGGCCAGGAGGTAAAATTCCAGGTTTAAGTATACCGTCCCTATAGCCACAACACAGAACAATCCCTTATTTTAAAGGAGCAACTGCAGGGACATCATAATGTGCTACATCAGCACTACTCTTGAGGAGCTAAATAACAAGATATACACCATCAGCAGCCACACACACACAAAAAATCTAATTGTAATTGATACAGTGTGGGTGGATTAAGCCATAGAAATATTGAAAATGCAACTACATTGCAGCTGACTTTCCACCTTAACCTTTACAGTTTATTTTAAACCTTATTGTTTTATTGGTCCCATCAGCAATAACAGAGCCAAGAGCAGAAAAACCCAAAGATGATTTTGTGCAGACACTGATGAAAAGTATCAAGTTGCTATGTTAGATGTGAAACAGAGGAGGACATCATCTGGGC